GTTGGAATTAACACCATTCTAAGAGCAAGCCAGGCTTTGGATCCTGTTAATGGTTGAATTTTGTGTTACTAATATTTATGTATGGAAGTCCTATCACTAATCCTCAGCATGTCACAATGTGCCTTTATATAGAAATAGGGTGGTAACAGAGTTCAGAGGAGGTCTTACTGGAGTATCACCTATAAAAACAGGAAATTTGCTTATTTGCTTACATTCTCACCTACAGTATGAAGAGTTCCTTTTCCCCCAGAACCTCTCCAACATTTGTTATTATTTGATTTCTTAGTGATAACTATTCTGTCTGGAATAAGATGGAATCTAATTGTTTTGATTTGCATTTTTTCAATAGTGAGAAATGTTGAACATTTTTATGTAAACTGGTACAGCTATTATGGGAGTCACTATGGAGATTCCTCAAAAGACCAAAACTAGAAATTCCATTAAACTCAGCTATTCTTTTTCTGGGTATCTTTTTGTAAGAGCTAAAGATATCATAGTGCAGTGATACACACATACCCATGTTTACTGCAGCTCAACTCATAATAGCTAAATTTTGGAAGCATCCCATATGACCATTAAGGGATGAACAGGTAAAGAAAATGTGGTATTTATCTTCAGTGGAGTACTACTCTGCCATAAAGAAAAATAAACTTGAGTCATTTGCAGGAAAACAGATCCCTTGAGACCATAATCTTAAGTGAAATAAATCAGACACACAAGTTTAAATGTCACATGCTCTGTCTTATATGAGAAATCCAAATTATAAATAAAGAGCAAAATAAAAGATAGATAATAGGAAATAGGGAGATGGATCTTTTGCAAAAGGGAAGGGGACCATGAGATGGAGGGATGAGGGAGGGAGAACAAGGGAAAAGGGATGAAGATAATTAAGATATGTTCTGTACATGCACTAACCCCTATGGTAAATATAATCATTATGTACTGCATATACTGATAAGGAAATAAAACTTAAAGAAATCCAGGATATTTGGTCACAGATGTGCACGTGAGAGCATCACATGAAGATGAAGTTAAAGATCCACAGACAAGTATATCACTCAGCTTTCCTATCACTGGACGAAGTCCCTGACACTCACAATTTATAGGAGAAAATGTCTGGGAATTCAGCCCGGAGCTGGCTGTTTTCAAGGCAGGAGCATCATGGCAGAGGGGTGCAGTGGACCAAAGCTGCGTACTTTTTGGAGGCTGCGGACAGAGCAGGGGAACAGACCCAAAAAGCAAGGGGTGAGGAACCAGACAAGCCACACCACCATCACCCCCCAGATACATCCAGAGCATGCTCTGATAACTTTCTAGATCTAATCCAATGAAATTGACACACCAGGATAAACTGTCACACTGAGTAATGCTAAAATTGCCAACTAACTACCAGAGCCATGAAACAGATTTTCTCTCACCATCCTCTGAATGAACCCACCCTGCCAACACCTGATTCCAGACTTCTAGCACCCACAATGTCAAAACACCCATTTCTGTCATTTTATCTACCCATTTGTGCCTGTTTGGTATGACAGCCCTAGCTGTCAATCCTACAGCATATAAAGTTGGTCCATTTGATGAATGTGCACAGTCTTGCACAATATCCAGTCTTGTTTTCCCAGAACCACGAAGGTATTTTAAGTTGGGCAGGAACTTAGCCACGTTTACATTCGGGCCTCAGCCCAGCCTGCACTTAGCTATTTACCTACGTCACCCATTTTTTGCAAAAGTAACTTGAGTCTTGCCTGTGCCTTGGAGGAGAAACTCACTGTATACCCTAATATTCTTCACAGTGCAGCTCAACATCATTATTAGTCTCCCCTGTATTTGGACAGGGACTTCACTACAAAATGCCTCATTTTTAGATCTGTGATTAAACCATTCAGAGGAATAATTCTTTATTCCTCTCTGTTTATAAACTCATTCTACTTTGACTTATATGGGCAAAAAGAAACCATTGGAGAACATTCTTTGCTCTTTTTCTTTCTCTGATGGTAAATGTAAAGTCATGCAGTTTAGAAGGGAATAGCTGCAGTTCCCTTATTACCACTATTCATCTTTCTTTGGGGAAAAAGACAGAGCACTGACTATTGGATGGAGATATTTCTGTGGAATCTTTCTCTGGTGACTTGTAATCTAAAGCTGTTGAGTCCAAGGAAGGCAGTTTTAACCACAGTGTTTAATCTTATAGAGACATTTATTGCAAAGCATTTTGTTTTGCCTTGTTTAATGTAAACCACCAGAGAGATGTTTCTTGGTTATATCATTTCGTAAAGCAGAGTGTGAAATGAAAATCCCAGGAAAGGCCACGCCTTAAAACTTCTATTATAGACTGCAATCTGGAAAGGACTTTTGGTGCCTTAAAACAACATCAGTAAAGAGTGAACATTCATATAATTATAGTGACAACGGCCAACCAGAACCCACAAAGGAACTGTGTAGTGCTGTAAAGGGCACTTCTTGTCAGACACATCTGGATTTCCACTACAGCCTGGCTCTTCCTGGTTACTTTTCCTAAAGCAGAATGTCTTCTGTAAGCCTCAGGTTCCTCATCTGTAAAATGGGAACATTAACTGTCTTTGCTACATGAAGCTGTTATGAGGATTAAATAGGATGTTGAAAGGGAGCTTTTAGCAGTGTCTGACATTTAATAAATATCCACTAGATGTTAGCTGCTCGTACTATAAGTAAAAATACTTTGTAAATCTATCATCCATTAGGGATGCTAAGTACCTGATCTCCAACCTTTATTAAAATCTCACAGGGAAATAGTTGTTGGTCTCCACCTTACAGGAAGGAGAATTAAATTACATTTTCAGGGTGATCTGGTTGGAAGTGGCAGAGCAGAGATTCCTTTACATCTAAAAACATATTGAATGTCATATAACTACCATCAGGCTGATAGAGCTGTGCAGTGGCCCCTCCAAAGTCATTGCTTCAAGTTAGCATTTGTAAGACCTAGAAGTCCAAGATAAAGTCAAAGGTAGTTTTTACTGAAATAACCAATGCAAAGAAAATCAATTTTCTATTCTTTTAAGCTTCATCACAGAGTTTACAGTGAAACCCAGAACGTGGGTCAGTTAACCGTGCCCATATGTAAACCTGAACAAGTTTCACTCTCTGTGTGATGCAGACTCTTGGTAAAGATCAATCAGGTACGTCTCAAATGTTTTCAGAGAGAGGGAAATGAACTGCTTTTGTGCCTGAGAGTTTGAGGGTCAAATTCCACACACAGGGAACCAGGCTCCTTGTTTTCCTCTCCTTTCCATGCTGGCTCTTTCTGCTCTGCTCACTTTGATTGGTGGGTTGGCTTCCTCCTCTTCTCTGAGAGAAAGACAATGCATGGGTGCAAAGATTTGCCAAAACCTCAACCTCAGTCCTCCTGGCCATCCCCAACAAAGAGAGGACCTTGCTTTCTTCGTATCTGTGCATGGCTCATTGGTAAGAGCCAGCCTTCTTAAGCTGCATGTGAGTGGAATGCGAAAGACTGGCAGCCCTCATGGAGACTTCTTGGAAGAGGCAGAGAGAGCTCCTCTCACAGAAATGCACTGAGGAAGTGCACCATGGGGATCAAGCACCACTGAGTAGTGTTTCCAGAAAGAAATTGCGAAGTTTGGTTTTTGTTCTGTTCTCTTTCATTTATTTAATTAAAAGAAACAGAGTCCTTACTTTAGTCTAGCTATGGTTCTGGGTATTTAAGAAAATATAGAAGAAATAGAGTCACAACAGCACAGCTTTACTCTTCCCTAGGGTTGCTGTAATGAACTGGCACACATTTGAAGATTGTTACTGTTCTGGGGGCCACATGTCCAAAATGGGTCTCACTGGACTGCAGTCAGAGGATCAGTGGGGCTGGTTCTTCCTGGAGACTCCAGAAGAGCCAGTTTCCTTTCCTCTCCTCACTTTTGGAGACCTCTGCATTCCTTGTCTCTTGATCCTTTCATCAAAGCATGTGTGCCCTTGCTTCCACTACCTCTCCTACAAGGACACTTGTGATAACCCAGGATGATCCCCCATCTCATGATCCTCAGCTTAATCACATCAGCAGAGTTAGTCTTCCTGGAAGGTGACATTCCTAGGGCCAGGCAATAGGATGAAGACCTCTTGGGGATAATTATTTGGCTTTCCACAAGCTTGACCTAGGAAGGCATGACAACCAAAGCAAGCACACAGCCACCCTCTCAGCAAAAAAGACAAGTTCCCTAAAAGAAACCACAGATTATACAGAGGACAAAGAAACCATCTTCAGCGTCTTAGGTCTAGTTTGCTTCTTGACTGATAACAATAACAGCAAACATTTATTTTTCTCATTATGTGTCAGGCATTGTTGTACATGCTTGACTTCCATAACTCAGTGTTCACTATTAATCATACACATTATGTAGCAGAGGATACTAAAACATAAAGATGCAAATCAACTTGTCCAAGATCATATGAACAGCCAGGGAGGAACTTGAGCTACAGGTGTCTGATCCCCAGGGTACCCTCTCCGTCACTTGAGACAGAACTGAGAGCCCAGATAAGCAGCCTGTCAGCATGGGGGCAGAAGGGCACTGCAGACAGGAAACAGAGTGAACAAGCTGAGGCAGGGAGATGGAGGCAGAGTCTGGTCAGTGGGTAGACCATACTGGGTGGAGAAGTCGTGGGAGATCAGAGCAAAGCATGAGGCCGGAGTGTGGGAGATCTTGACACCATGGACCTTCTCCACCGTGGCTGAGTTCTTCGACATGTGGTTAGTGGAAGAGCTGGGACAGGGCTGGATCCTGGGTAGACTGGTCTTGCAGCCCTGAGGAAACTGCAGGAGCAGAGTGGCTGCCTCTCTCCTCTGTGTCCCACAGCGCTGTGCACAGCAGAAGGAGCCTCCGGACAGTGAGCCTGGGGCCGCTGTGTGTAGCTCTCTGGCTGCAGGTGCTGTTGAGGGTGCAGGAAACTGTAAAACTCAGCACTTTCACAGGACAGGGCAGGAGTGATGCTGAGTTAATGTATACTGGAACAGCACGATGACGTCAGTTGGAAGAGGCTTTGCCCACATTGCTCAACACTTCTAATGTAGTGGAAAGTACCCAGACATCTGGAACATACAGGTCCACCCTGGAATCCTAGCTCTGCTGCAGGCTGCTGCAGGGCCTCTGGTAGCTTCTCAGTATCCTGGCCTCATTCTTCTTGTTCTTTAAAGCAGAAATCAAGTTATTTTGTTGGTAAACATTAACTTACAAGGTGCTTCAGATGAAGGATCTGGTACTGAGCTGGTACTCAATGTTGTTATTATCTTCAGATTCACGTTTAATTTTGTCACCAACTTACCTTTAGGTTCATATGATATTCTACCTCCTTTATAGTTGAGAAAACTGAATCTTGGGGAAAAGAAAGGATTTACCCAAAATTAGCCATAAAGAATCAGGGATTAGAACCTGAAATCTAAGAAATTCAGCTGTATGCAAATTTCACAAACAGAATAAAGCCCACAGGTCAGGCGATCCCCAGGTAATCCTGGCTCCCAGAACATCTCCAGTCCTTCAGGAAGCCTGGGCTCAGCTCCAAAGCTGGATCCACACCTGCCCGCATCTGCCTGTACCTCCTGCCCTTCTGTAACCACGACACCCCCTGAATCTCCTCACACCCCTACATGCCTGCCCCAGCCTGTAGTGCTCCTGCTGGCGGACACTGGCCCTGCCCAGCACCCTACTTTGGCATCCTTAGTGACACAAGTCACTTTGATTGCAGGCTATCCCCGTTGTTCCAGGTCCCCCATCAGGTCCACTGCAGAAGGTGATCCCCAGTGGGGACATCACCTCGGTGGTAAGGCTGCCCTTGCTCTGTCCTGGAAAGGCCCAGTGCTGGGCGTCCCTGATGGGAGAAAAGGGACTTGGTACCACTGACTCTGGCTCTGAACTGTCTGCACAACCTCCAAGAGGCTGCAGGGTAGGTGAGGGCTACCCTCCCACCAGAGGAACTCAGTCTTGAGAGAAGGAGCCCTGGTCTAGCTGTTAGCCAGACCCCTGCACAGCTCTGGACCCCTCACCCTGTGGGACCCTGGTGCAACAACACATATTCTCTAGGCCTTGGTTTCCCAATCTGTGATGCCAGTGTGTGGGCTGGAGACTAAGAGGCTCTAACAGAGTGGTCAGCTGGGGCCAGGCTGGCAGCATGCCCTGGGTACCACACCTCTATACACCCCTGCACTCACAGGCCAGGGTCTCTGCTTGAGTCTCAGCTCGACCACTCCCAAAGCAGATGGGGAACATAAGCCCCATTCTGTTTGTACAGCACCCCTTCAAGCACCATGCCTCCTTGCATTCACTTTCATCTCTCAGATTAGAACTTGATTAGACAGGAAAGGAGCCTCAGAGCAGGGCACGGACTCTCCTCTCTGACTAGGGCCTGGTTTCCTCTCTGACTTCACTAGAATTCTACCTGATGTCTTCCAGTACAGGAAGGTAGAGTCACCTAAAGACTCAGCCACTTGGTGAGATTCCTAACTGTCTTAATTAGTGCACAATTGATGTTGAGTTGAATGAGTTACATAGCAATGTATCCTGTTACCTTGACTGTAAGCAAGAGTGATGTAGCAATTGAGAACCTCTTACAGTTTTTCTAGGGATACTGAGATAACACATGGATGAGGTGGTATGATTGCACCCCTGCTTGTTGGGTTCCTGGCTTGCTCAAGTTAAATTGATTAATAGGAGAAAAGTATATAAATGTATTTAATATAACTTTTATATGGCACTGGAGCTCATTTAAAGAAATGAAGGCCCAGAAATGCAATTAGAATCAGATGCTTAGATTCTGAACTGGACAAAGAATAATAGTAAGGTTTGATGATGCAATTAAATTGAAGCTCGAACCATTAGTTGTTCTAACCATGTATGTAGAGCACTATTTTAGTCTCAGTTTCCCCTCTTTGAGGATGAGGTTGCTGCAGTTTTCACATGGGAATTTCATACTCTACTTTTAGCAGCAGCACCGTGGTCAGGGTGACATTTGTGCAATGCCTGTTTTCCAGGTGCCTTTGACTTGGTGGTCAATGTTCCAGAGGGATTTTCTTTGGCTCCTTCCTAGGGAAGGCAGCAGTCCTGGTACTGTTGTTATTGACAAGGAACTGCAGTACATGAGTAGAAAAACACAAAGAGTTATTTATTTATTCCACCTGTACAGATCTGAAGGAACTTTGAGAAGAATCATATCTTCAGTTCTGAAGATGCCTCATGGATCCGATGCAATGCTTAAGGTCACAGTGAAAATTATTGGAAGTAAACACTTTCAATACCTCATTGAGAAACCAAAGAAGTGAGTTCCCAGTTTGAAAAATACAATATCTATCTTTCTTAGATGGTAATGAAATTGCTTGTTTTAACCCAGTAACTGACATTTTAAAAACACTATCCATGCAAAATTAAGTCATTAAGATGCAACAGTAGAAGTAAAACAGCATTGAAACTTCCAAGTGCACTGTTTCCAGGCATTTTTCATTATTATAATTCCCCATACTCCTTAATTACTTGGGCTGATTTTCCAAATAGATGGGAAATACCAGCATTATGACATTTATTTATTTATTTTAGATAAGACACAGAGTGAGCTTTATTATTTTTTTGTAGGACGTTATTAATGATTGTTATTTTACCTATTGGTATCTTCAAGATAGTTTCACAGGAAAACAAATAGACAAATAATAGTGAGTTACAGACAAAAATGGTAGGAAATTATCAATGGTTATTGTACTATACTTTGGTTTCTTCAAAGTGGTTTCTAGGGAAAACAAATAGAGCTACACATAAGTGATCAATTAAATAATCATTGACTATTCTCAATGGTTGTTGTTGAAAACACATAGTAATAAACATACTTCCATTTATGAAATAGCGTAGGAACAATGAAAACATTACAGAGTTATGGACAGATTGGTAGGAAATTATCAATGGCTGCTGTAATACATGTTGGTATCTTCAAAGTAGTTTCTCAGGAAGACAGAGATATGTAAGAAAGATCTAACAAGTAGTTAAAGCCCAAGGGTTGTGAAAAATAGTGGATTACCTCCTTATCAGTGTCTCTTTTCACAGAGGTATGACAGCTGGAAGGAAGGCCAGGATTGGAAAGAAGGACAGAGAGACTAGCACCTGTGTCCAGCAATAGGCTGTTTACTTTTTCCTCTATAGTCATGATTACACAGGGCTCCTCTTTGAAGATAACAGACTGGCCAGAGGGAGAAGGCAGAGTATGCCCTGGACCCCTTCATTCCTGTTGGACCAGCTGGTAGGAGGGGTCTGAGCTCTGGGGCCTTGCTTCAGAGGGCAGTCCGACCTCTAGTGGTCACCTTTACAGTCAGGGCATGGCCCAGGGGGTTTCTTAGGGCAGTCCCTCTTGAGGTGGCCTGGCTGTCCACGAGTTCTTCCTGGGGCCCCGAGAATCTGACTTAGGGTCTGTTTCTCTTAGTGCTGCAACAAAGGCAGCTGTTTTTTCTCGGTCTCTTTGTTTTCTCTCCTTGGCCTCCTCCTCATGGCTATAAAAAACTAAGAAGGCAATTCGTACTAACATCTCAAGTAAGCTATCTGGGGCAAAAGCCATTTTTTTGTAGCTTTTTTCTACTATTTGGGACTGACTGAGTAATAAACTTATCTTTAAGAATAGTTTGTCCCTCTACTGACCTGGGATCCAGGGAAGTATGCTTTATCAATGCCTCTTGTCTAAGAAAGCAGAGGGGTGTTCCCTCCAGCCTCCCAGCACATTGGGATCCCTCAACCCTTAGTGTCCTCTCCCCAACCGTCAACACAGGCGGCAGGAACATGTGGATGAAGTCCTCGGCCTGCTAGTCAGTCTCAGCACCATCAGGTGCAAAGTGTCCCAGTCAGGTAACCTAGACACGTACCTTCTCCATGAAGGCGGTTCTTCAAAATCTGAATCTTGGGCACCCATGTAATGCATGAAGTCCTGGTGCAGACCTCTCCGGAGTTCCATGCGCTCCTCCACCGCAGCCTGCACAGTTGGGGGGAAGAATGGCCTCCAGGGCGTCATCCCGGGTGCTGCGCAAGGTCCTCCTGGTTTCCAGCTCCCAAATGGCTCCCACGTCCCCAGTCAGCTGAACCTCTGAGTCGTCGGGGCGTCGGTACTCTTGTGTTCTCCGAGTCCTTGTTCATCAGCTGCTCCTCCGCTGACTCCGGACCTTTCTGGCTCTCAAGGGCAGGGCCAAGAGCGACCTGCCGTGTGGCATGTTTTCCCAGAGGTTTCTCCATGTCGGGATGGTTCATGCACTTCTCTGGGCACGCCTACTGTGTCAGTGCTTCTCTACGGCATGGCGTTTTGGGGCAGCGGCCGGCCCCAGGGCAGGCACGCTCTCCACGCCGCTTCCCAGGTGCCTGCTGCCTGCCTTTCCAGGCGCCTGTGCAGCCAGGTGGGCCGGGCCCTGAAGGGCCTGCCTACATTTATTAATGTTAATGGGTTACTATCGTTTCTCTTCATCAGGTTTGTAATCCACCACACATGTAGTAATTTGGGGAGTATTGTTAGTTAATTTGTGTGAATTGAAGGAGTAGGATTATTGTTATTCCCACTTGATATTCCTCTAAACCAAGGCTTCACCAAGTGTAGCTAGCGTACCTCTCTTTTCTTACAACCTCATCAGAGCCATATTTGAGGATGGATATGCACATACTCCTAAACTTCACCAGATGCTGGGCAAAGAGGGAATGACAAGCTCTTCCTTACAGAATTTTGATAGTTCACAGTTCATTACTGTGTCATACCTACCTTTCTTATAGAAGGCATTCCCTAAGTGGCAACTAGTCTTTCCTCCAAAGATTATTTTCTTAGCTCTTTTCTCTATGCCAGAAGCCTACAGACTAAATAAATAGAACATAGAAAAGATATGACATCATTCAGCACAGGTGCAGAAAGCCGTGGTTACAAAACCCAGCAATCCTCAAAATCACCCAGAGAACCCCTAAATGTTAATGTCAAGGGTCCCACACCAGGCCACCTGAATCCTTGCCTGGAACTCAGACACTACAGCTCCACAGTCCTGGCTCCACAGAGGCAGTAGGAGCACCAACCATTCCATTCTCCTCAGTCACAGTGGTCAGCACAGAGAAACTCCGGTGTCAGCGGTGTTGTCAGGAAGGTGAAGCACTTGGGATCCTGCAGAGTTGAGCTGAGTCTGAGCCCTGGAGCTCTTTCTTCCTGGTCTCTTGGCCTTCGGAAAGTGGGTTAGTTAATAGGACTGTTAAATGAGGAATGAGAGTTAAGTGAAAAAAAGCATGCAGAGCACCTTTGCAGTGCCTGTGATGTCCAGCATGCTCAGTAGCTATGGCAGCCTGTCCTTCCAAGTCTATAAAACACTTACTGAAAGCCAAATAGCTTCCTGTGTAATGCTTTCCATTGCTTGTGCATTCTATGCCTAGAAGGCAAGTGGTCTGATTTATAGATGAAGAAACAGACACAGAGGACATGAGTGGCTGGCAAGGAAAGTAAAACAGGCTTCCTTTAGACTCCAAGCTGTAATTTCCTTCTACCTGGAAAACCACATTACAGCTGTACTGCTACCTTTCTTTCCTAAAGTTGTCTGCTTGGTCTCATCCTACTCAAAGCCCTTCAGATTTTTCCTGGGGGATCTAGTTCAATACATTTCTAAAAGGAAAGAGAGGAGAGGACATTCCCTTCACCTTTCTGAAAGATGCCTTTCCTACCTCACCCCCCCCATATTTCAACCTTCAGGAAGCAGGAAATAAAAGAATGCATTAAATCAGCTAAATTGGTTGTGAAATAAAAGGCTTTGCATCTCCCTTGGGATACTATAAAAAATGGTAGTGTTTAATCAGAAGACAGGTGTTTTTGTTTGTTTTCTATGACCTAGATGCTATTGTTGCTGAGATGACAGAGGACAATTATGAGGTTTTGCCAAAGTAATCTTGCATGGTTCAAAAATAGAAAATTGGCAGGTTTTTTGTTGCTGAGATAAAGAGAGAACCACCACTACCATGTTTCAGAAAGTCTCCTCCAAAGTCCTTATACCCTGAGCCTGTGCCTAAAAAAGTGTTGTCTTTGTGTTTAATTAATTGAAACCATTAGTGAAAATCACCAATACCAAAGGCAAGGAGTGGGAGGAAAGTTTCTTGAAGGAAAATATAAATTAAAAGAGAATCACAAACCAATAACAGCTAGAAAAGCAAAAATTTTCTGGTATAACCACCTTTGGCTCTGATTTCCTATGTCAAACCTGAAAATTTAGATAATAATGCAAGAGCTTGCTAGGACAGTGACAAGGTTCCGCACTATGTGGCCTTGAACAGCAGCTATTGCCTCACATGGAGCCTGGCGGGCCAACATCCAGAATATATGGACATGGCTTTCCCTCTGAGAGAGCCAGGGTGTGTTGTCCATCTCAGTCTTTTCTTGTTCTTGTTCTTCCTTGGTGTGTGGCATCATAATGCTAAACTTTGCATGGGTTTTCCCTGTGTCTGCATCCATGACCATTATCCACCTGGGGCTTGACCCTTGCATTTCTATCCCCTAATCTCGTTGTCATGTCTATGCACACAACCATATCCGCACCACAAAAGACATCTCTCACACACGTTGGAAACCTGTTAATGGATTAGAGCATGACTTTTGTTGAGAAGATAATACTTAGTTGCTTTAAATAAAGCCAAGTCTGAAGCCTCAAGCTGTCAGAATAGAAGGCAGACCTGTTGATGAGTGAGTGACATTGGTAGTTCATTGAAGGAGAGTAGACCAGGTGACAGGAGACACATTTTCTTATTTCTAAAAAAGAGATAAAAGTGTAAAATACAACATCAGAGCTAGAGGCTTGTGGACAATGCTTGGCAAAATTGTAGACCAAAGAATTAAGTGTGTTATCTGAGAAAACAAAACACCAAGGTGATGGTCACCAAGGGTTGGTACATGTTAACCAAACATGATAACAGACTATGCCCATTCTCTTAACCAATGGGATAATGAATATGAGTAATAGAAGCATAGCATTTGTTGATTTCAATATGTCATTAAGCACATCTTTCTCACAAAGTCCAGAAACAAGGTAGAGAACTGAGAAATGGACATTATTAAGACAGGTGACATCCCATAGTAGGCAATTTTCTGTTGCTATTAATACAATCCCACAGACTAGAAAAGAGATTTATTCTGAATCACAGTTCTGGAATCTCAAAGTTAACTGGCTATGTCTGCTGATCATCTTCTTACTGCAGAGTTCTGAGGGTACAGCTTGTGTGTGTGTGTGTGTGTGTGTGTGTGTGTGTGTGTGTGTGTGTTTTCTGGCTATCTTCCCTCTAATGAAGTTACTAGAATTCAATTATGGGACTCTGTGATGACCTTGTGAATTCTGAATGCCTCCTAAATGGACACCTCTCAACACCACCCTCAGATTAATTTTTTTCTGGTGCCCCACACAGGGACTAGACACCAGCATGAGCTTGTAGAGGATCTAAAAAGCTGTAACATACATTACAGTGCACCTTCAAGTTACAAGTGGCCTGATAGATGAACAACTTGGGTTACGACCAGAATTTTAATTTTAACTTGCAACCAAAGTCTTGAGTTATGAACTGAATGCTGCCTACTTACGCTTCAAATGGTCTCAGATATAGATTTAACCCTTAAAGATTTCTGGAAGGAACATTACAACATCCTTTCTATATGGGGTTAATAGAGGACTCCTGGGCCACTGAGATCTGCCTATACACAGAAGAGAGACTTTAAAGGCTGTGTAGAGGAGCCTCAGCCTTCAACTGACAACTTCAGTTACAAAGAGCCCTTGGGAATGAATTGAGTTCATAAGTCAAGAAACTATAGCACATGCCAACTGGTAAAGACTGAACAACTACTGTAAATACAACCTGTTGGAGATGGGGAGGGTTTTTTGTGACATTGCTCTTATTCAACATTTTTAAATCAACAGTCAAAGAAGACAGATTCTCACAGTAAACATATAGGTAGCAGGATTCTGGGAAGCCTTGTTAAAACCAACAAGGTCAGATCAATGGAGATACATGCCAAGACTGTCTTGAGATCAGTGCACACACTCTTGGTTACATGGCATCAGAGTGTGGGTTCCGTCTGTGTTTGAGCTTAATGTTCGTGGAGGATACTCGTTACTCTCAGTCAGGATGGATCCATCAGAGCAGAAGCAAGCAGCAAGGGCACGTAGATGTCCCATCAGACTAGATCCACAGTCTGAACTGTGTCTCAGGGTGACATTTAGAGAACATGAGCATTGATTTAAAGAGAAGAGGTGAGGGTCCATTTCAAGGAACTGCTGTGAGAAGTTTATCATCAATAAAGTTGGTTCCATTGTTCCTGGAGCCAGTGGCCCAGGCTCTTCCTACCTTCCATAGTTGCACTACAATGGGTGCAGCATTATTAGTTCAGTGGAAGCAGACTGCAAGTTTTATGGGAAGGGATAGTGAATACTTGTAATAAGTTACACTATATTTCTAACCAAGAAATCCAAAATTCTTGTGTTTTCCCACAGAACTCTTCCTGGAACCCATTGTCTGGTATTATTTTAACCCCCCAAAGTCATCATGCATAATAATAAATTCTATGTGTTTTGTCTTAAATGTTAAGGTGTTAATGCTAACAGTTTTAGATATCCATGAATACATGGAATTCTGCCAACTTCGTTTCCATAAACATTAATGAACATCTACTGAGTTCCAAGCCATTAGGTACAAGGTAATGTCCCTAAAGTTTTAGGGACAGGAGACGTATAACAACCAGATAAGCAATTATCATTTGAATGAAGACTGTGCAATAGAGAAAAGGAGAAAAGAAATGCATGGTGTGTGGAATCACAAAGGGAATTCCTAGGAGACCTGTGTGAACAGGTGACGTTTGAACTGAGACCATGGGGATCCATGGAGCCATAAGAAAAATCCCTGGTTGGCTAGCAGTGAGCTGGGTATGACTGCCTCAGCTTGGGCCCCAAGAGGCATGGCTCCACTAGGTTCCAGCTTCGCACAGAAATGGTGGTTTCTTCTCCCCTCCTCTGTTTCAGAAAAAAAGGATACAACTTCCCCCATCACAGGTGCTCTGGATCTTGGTATCTGGCTTTCCCAGCATCTGCTGCAGACAGATGGAACCTAGCTTGACTGCATGGGATGCAAGCAATTTTTTTAAACAAAAAATTTCCTTATATTGGCCTAATAAAAATCCTGGAGCCAAAGAGGCCTGCAAGACATAGGAGGGGGCCATGTGTGCCATGGTAGGAACTTTGAATTGCACTCTGTATAGGATGGGAAACCCATGCAAAACTGAGCACAGTAGAAGAAAGAGCATGTTTACACTTTCTAAAGGGTGATTCCAGGTGCTGAGCGATAGATAAACTAGAAGTGACAGGAGTGAAAGAAAGATCATTTAGGGGGGTGGTATGGTAAC